TTATTATTATTATTATTATTATTATTATTATTATTATTATTATTATTATTATTATTGCTTACTAGGCTCACCAATCATTTAGCATCTCTGTATGTGACAGATATTAACATTTCGACTAAAATTTGAATATTTTCAAAACCAATGTCAAAAGAGATTTTAGAGTGAAATCAAGTAAACGTCATTGTGAAAAATTAAATGATCCAAGTTTAACTAGAAAATCTGTATCATTTTTGTGGTAATCAAAAATATTACAAACAAAATCTTTTCGGGTTTTCTACCAATTCAAAATAGACAACTAAATGGTGCAATATTTGATCATTGACCCCAAGCGGGTCAAAGACCAGACATTATCTTTTGCAACTAAGCCTATTTATCGCAATAATCTCTAAAAAGTATCTTGTTAATTCTTGCACCAATACTATGATCACTTAATGATAGGTGCTAAAAATTATTCCTAATAGATTCATTCATTTGACTGTATCCCTGCCTTTGGTCTTTTATCTTCGATCCCTGAAAAAGAAACAAATTGATCAATTAGGAATACGCTTAGCTGAAGTTAGTAATTGATTGAATCAATAACTGATAACACTATAATTCCAAGACATTCCTAATGAGGGAAGGATATAGCAAATAAAGTAATGCGATCATCCCGTTCCAAACGTCCTTCAGCGTTAGGAGAACGAAATGGGACACCGGCAAATATATTCCGGATCAGTCTTATCAATCCTTTCATCCACTTCCTCCGTCCATTCTTAATCCAAAATGACAACAATGATATTATGATCCCAAGACATTCCTAAAGTGCAATCCGGAATGAGACAAATTGATCGATGCGACAGATTTGTAGTAGGAAAGAGGTAAAGAAAAAAAGGACGGAAGATGAATGTAGGGGAGAACTTGGAGGGAGAATTTAGAAATAGAATCAAAGAAAGAGAAGTGAAAAAGGAAGGAAGGTGGATGAGACAATCCGACAAAATTACATAGCATATGAATAAGAGAGCGAAATATGCTGGGAAGTGAAACAGATGATAAAACATAATGAAACTAAGAATATATATAGTATTGAGAAGTAGAGTGAATGGGTGAAGCTCGGAGGGAAATTAAGGCGACTAGAAGCAAGCGTTGGAGGGTGTAGTTTATGGCGAATCTCAGGATCCCAAACTTCGGGAATTTGGATTTTGGAGTTCTGAGATTTCCCATAGAAGGGAAAGTACAAGACTGAGCAAATGATGATTGTATGGAGCAGTCGTATTTGAGTAATAGGAAAGGATTACATCAAAGATCAGAGATAAGTTCAATAAAAGAGAAGTGATCATACTGTAAGATGCAATGTAACTGCAACAATACATTGAATACTGGGGTTTCCTATATCGATTATTTCTCAACTTGACCTTATACTGAATAGGATAGTTCAAGGTCAGGTATTTAGGTATGTGTTTACCCGAAAATGAGATAGGATCTTATATTATTTCCTCTTTCCTCAAAAAAAAAAATGTGCTAGGGTTTATTTACAGGGGATGCCTTATTTTTGGGGAAACACGGGATGTCCAGTCCATGGTCACCTCTCTGTGTTTGTGTGCATGTATGTATGTATGTATGTATATGTATGTATGTATGTGTGTATGTATGTATGTATGTATGTATGTATATATGTATGTATGTATGTATGTATGTATGTATGTATGTATGTATGTATGTATTATATGTATGTATGTATGTATGTATGTATGTATGTATGTATGGTGTGTGTATGTTTCGCCAAACATTACGATATATCGAATTTGTCAACTGTCAAGCCACTCCATTCAAAATTGAATTCAAACTTTTCTGTAAATCCTAATCCGGTTTCATCGGCAAACTGGATCAGGATTTACGAGAAGGCCTAAATTAATTGTTTCTTTCCTCTTCCTTTGTGTTCTCGTCTTTTAGAATTATCTTATTTTCGTATTTGGTAAATTACGGATATTAATTTCCAAGTTATTAAGCCATTCAGTTTTTTTCTCATGAAATCAGTCGGAGTAGAATGAACTTAAGTTTAATGTCCAGAATTATATCCGTAAAAATGACAACATACAAATGTGCAAGGAAGTTTGTTTTTTCAATACTCAATAAAAAAATGAAAAGTGAAATTGGCATGAAGCGGAATTAGATGAAGCAAACAACGTGACAAACATAAAAGAACTTGATTGTGACACGTTATAACACGACGCGACGCGTGACAACGTGACAACAGTGTACGAAAAGTTGAATTTACTATAATACCGATAGCGTCCACCTTCTTCAGTTTGGAAATTAAAAATAAAATTGAAATTGTCAGAACTTTTATATATAGGAGTGAATAAGCAAAATGAAATTTCCACGTTTTAAAATAAACTTTTTTTTATCGAAATTTTCTCCCACTCAAAAAAAAGAACATATAAAAATTTTAAAATTATGTCAACAAAAATTAAAGAAATAATGCCATTTTCATCCATAACAGAACAATATGCAACCATACAAATACATACCAATGTCACCTATCACTTTTAAATTGGAAATTAATAATAACTGAAAATATGCAAACTGTTTTGAAAATTTTCATCTCATCTCATTCAGTTATGTTTTTTTAACGTTTGCAGGTCAAAAAGAAAAAAAAGGGAAAGACAAAGAGCAAAGACTAATTAATTCATTCCATTGTATTTATTATAAATTTTTACTTTCACAAACAATCGATTGAGAAATTGTTAAAATTGTGAAATATATTCCATCCATAAAAATATTAGGAAAACGAAAGTATTAAGGGATAGATGAATAAAAAATTCATAATGGATATTTATTCATAATGGATATTTATTACGGCAAGGATTCAGGATGATCGAGGAAAATATTACTGCTTGTATTTAATTGATCGGGGAGATGTTAAATTTGTTAAGTACTTGATCATATTTTAATCAAATTATCTTCTTTTAATTGTTAGTATCATTCGTCTCGTGCTTTTTCTTTTTCCTTATAAAAGCTATTGTATTCATAAAAAAAAAAGTACGAAATTCAAATATTTGTGTTCATTTTCTATTCGTTCTTTTCTTTGCATACATTTTAAATACGACATTCATAGATCACCAGAAACATTGATTTGCACATTACTTGTTAAAAAGTTTTACAGTTGACAGTTCGTATGCGACATTCTTCCCTTTCTTCTACACTTTTTGATTAGCATGGAAGGATACCGCCAATTCAAAAATTTCGAAAGTTATGCTTAAATTTAAATTAAATCTTTGTGTGTGAACTGATTAAGATAACGTAGGGGAAATTGGCAATAATAGCCTAGGAGCCCAGTTCTCATCCAATGGATGGACCAGGTCCTAAGATGCAGATCCAACTATATTTTTTTCTAACGGCAATAATGACGATGTAACACTTTGGGATCTAGAATTATCGCGATTGTTGGTACCAGACTCATCTTCTCAGAGATCTTCGCTAATGGGTTTAAACCTACTTTTTAGTTCAAAATTTTCTGAAAGAATTTAAATTTTGGTGAAACTTCTCACATTTTCAATCGGATTGACAATTGCAAAATTCTCAGCGGGTATTTATCAGAACTCTCGAGATTTCCTAGAACTTTTCCCCTTCTCTCGAAAATACCAATACCTGGTGAAGCAGTAAATTCAACAATTCTTTTCATATATTCCGCTGAGATTAATTAACTTGACGAACTAATAATGTAAGTTGCAACAGCTGTGCTTTTTATGAATACCATTAGAAAACAAAATCAGTCCCCATCAAGTCCAAGTTCCAAACATAATCCACGTAACTGTTAGTTTACTTGAAATTCACTATTTGGACAATTGGAAAGTATTTTAAAATCTAATACTACCGAACCGGATAATCGAATCTTAAATTATCCAATGGCTTGTAATCTGTTGCTGTTGTCGGTCATTACTTGTAACTTATTACAATTTGTAACTTATCAAGACTTGTAATTCGCAACTTATTAACAGCTGAAATTAGAACTTCATTGGAGGTTCTTTCAGTAATATGCAGAAAATGTATTTGGATGAGACCTGAACATTCCTCATAATATTAGAATAAAAAAGCAGACAATATCTGAAATGTTAAGAGCAAATGAATTTCACTTCCTGCCAAGCAGAAAATAAAGCTGAAGAATTGGAACTTAGAAAAACCGAATCCCAATAACTATGAAAGTTTCCAGAATTCGAAATACTTTGACTTGACATAAGCTTTCAAATCCCTTCCACGAATTAATAATCGGAATTTAACTTGAACGTCCGAAATTCCTCATAATTTTAAATTATACTGTATATTCTTCAAGTGTAATTCTCAAGATTTTTCCCGTCAGAATAAATGAAGAATACAGGTTCCACTTCTACTTAATTTTCGATTTCGCTGGTACGAAAATAATCAAGAATTGGTACCCAAATTATACTTGTACCCTTTTAAATCCTTCTTCTGTTGATGATTTCGAATGCTTACTTGTTATGTCACTTTACTATTTTTCTTGAAGCGATAAAGTAAACGTAGTTGCAATCCAACTAAAATACCTAACTTTGAATGGAGAATATGACTGGATTGAAATGATTCATATGATACATTTTAAATATATTTCAGAAAATCCCAAAAAGAACATCTAATTCTGGAAGCTATACATTTACTCATAAATATGCCTAAAAAAAGAAAAGATCATACATAAATATACAAAATGTAAAAAAAAAAGAAAAAAAAATTATAGATGAAATAGCATACATACTAAGCAATAATACTAAACACTTACCACAATGATAACATTTATTACTTGTCACTGCTTATCTTCTGTCTAGAAAAGTCCTCTTAGAAGATTCTCTGCTCCTTGTGTATGACAAATTTAAAGATTAAAGTTAAGACAAAAAATAGGATAGCTATCACATTAGGAAGGTAAATAAGATTTGTCCGCTTGAATATTCGCAAAGTACGACACGATATGTTCAAGAGATCTGCGACTGTCCATTCAAACACATGTATTCTTGAGGCTATGCACCGGAAATGAAGAATACCCGCTCAAATGCATTTCAAAAATATCACAATATGAGCAAGAGTGTATATTTATAGTATGTTACCGTTGGAAATCTTTGAGCCACGAAAGCAAAAAAAAACGGGAAACAACAAACCGTTTTTTTTTTTTTTTTTATTAATACAAAGCAAAGAAGCAATCTCGTATTGCAATAGTATGAAATACTATGGAAGGAAGAAAAAAAAATGAAATGAAAAAAAAGGAGACATTTGACTAGCAATATTAATTATAATTTTGAAAAATAACAAAATCTGATCCGCAAATATGAAGCAAAAAGAAAAAAAAACTGGAAATATCAATAAAAAATGTGCTCTAAAATCACAACTTATTATTCTTATATTACACTACAACAGAATGATGAAATAGTTTCAGGTGAAAGGTGAAAGACAAAATAGTTCAGTATGAGATTGCATACCATTTCAACAAAAATATTCAACTAGAAAATACAATCTCGTCCCTATATCAAATAGTGGGGATTAATCAATGCTAGCAATATATGTATCCAGGAAGTTTCAAACATATTAAGACAATTGTTGTTAGAAAGAGTGAAATGATGACTCTACAATAGTCATTAAATTATGAAATTGGCTTAATGATCGTAACAGTCAGCATTACTCGATGAATGGTGACGACGTTCCCATGTTCCCGGATCAAATATTACTAAAACTATGTTATAGAAGCGAATAGGGCATAATATTTACAGAAAAAAATTCAATTAAACACTTTTTCAACCAACACAAGCAAGAGGCAAACGGTCAGTTCATCGAAATTGTGCGGAACTTTTGATGAAGTTCGCCAGCACCATGTTGTCTTCCTGATGAATTTTCAGCTTCACCATCCATTTTCTCCGAAAGATCATTTGTCCTGAAAGATAACTCCTCATTACTGTCAATTACAAGCACGAGCAAAAGAAAGATTTTCCGTCATGTATTTAGCATAATGTTGTTTCTGGAGGATTATTGCATGTTTCAACATTATCTGTTCTATTTTTTGGAACAATCGCGCACTCCAAGGAACTCTGTTCTATTATTTCGTAATTCAATGCTCTTTTCCCATCGAATTCTTCAAAACTTTTAAAAAACTAACGATTCGAGTCCTTCTGGGAGTATGCCCAATCTGAAAAAGATCTTTTTAATTCAAATTCCATAACTGTTTCATTTTAATAAAGGTGGTTTAAAGTTACTTCACTCCCTCAGAATTCTAGTAGCACCTTAACTTTGCTCCTTTAGCAGGCAGATGGATAAACCTTTTTATCTTTCATTCTAAGATAACAAGCTCAAATAACTGGTATAAACACCAAGAATCTTCGTGCCTTTCTACCTTTGTATCTATATTTTTGTATCGTTGTGTCAGACAGTATAAACACTATTTGTGATAACACAAAGATTCTGATATTCTCTGTCAGAATCTTTGTGTTGTCACAAATAGTTCAATAAAATAATTCTTCTAAAAGCTGGATATAAAATCTTACGAGCTGTGCTGTGAATGCTGACTGAAACGAGAATGATAATGGAGATTTTCCGTTTGCAATTCGGCTACGTTAACAACCAAAAAATTCATTATATCGGATAAAGAGATCAAACCCTGTAACGATGATCAGTTATTAATTAGTTTGAGGAAATGAGAATTTGCAAAAAAGGATATTACACTTTCGGCAAAAAGGATATTACATTTCCACACAATAAAATAATTGAATGAAACCTTCAATCCTCTAAGAGATACGACGGTGTTATTACCCATGACAAGCAGATCTGTGAATTTAGAATAATTTGTATTGCTGCACTTGAATCACCATACTTCAAATTTTTTCTGGATGACCAATTTAATGGTAGAATGAACTATTCTAAAACTTCCATGAAAAAAATATGGACCTTAAATGCAAAGTGAAGAGTGTTCGAGATATAAAATCAAAAATTACCTCAATAGCGCCATTGTCCTTTAAAACACAAAGTCGATGAACATTCCTTTCAACAAGTACTGTAATCGCCGTCCACAATGAATCATCTACTGATATCGAAACGACACGATCTTTTTCAAGCTACAAAAGTAAAAATAAATAATCCATAAAAATCTCAGAGAATTGGTAGTGGCTTTAGATTTACTGGAAAGGCCGTTTTGTGATGGGATAATCCTTTCAGTGTTCATAACTTATGGCTGAACGACTAAAATTTAATAATTTTCAAATAAACTAATAAAACCATTGTTATTCATAGGCTATTATATCATATCTCTATATATTATCAGATATAAAAAAAAATGAACTGAACCCTGAAAGTATTCCGGAAAGCTAGAGCTTCCTGTACCGTAACATCAAGCTCATCAATTTTGTCCTCCAACGCCACACCAATCGCATCGAATCGTGAATACATATCCACAACTCGAAATGTTTTACGCTCCACAACCGGGACGCCACTGACACCCTTATTTAGCAATATATCAAGACATAAAATTAAGGATGTATCCGGATAGACCTGAAATATGATAAAAGCTATTGCGTTATAGATTAGCAATCGCTATGAATTTAATATCCCTTCATGCATTTCCCCAACATGATTACTTTCATTTCTCTAAAACCTGTACTCTTTCTTCAAGATATTAGTAAATTCAGTGATAATTTCCAATTTTGCTGATTTTTCCGATGATACACCACCAATTACGCAATCTAGCTCACCAAACGTACTTTTGTTCTTTCGCCACACTGTGGCACCGTCCCCTACGATAGTCAATTCGCAGAAAATGTTATTTTCACATGATGTGATGACCCGAAGTATCCTCTGCCTTAGATTCCGCAGGATTTCTATCAAAAGAAATTTCTGCAGGTTATAAGAAAACATTCGTGTTCAAATGTAGAAAATACTTCCTACAAACTTTTTCATCAATTTTATTGTAGCTCATAAAATTTCTTCATTGACAAAGTTCTTGAGGAAGATTTTTTCGGACGTTTATTATCCATTAAAACTTTTCTTCACCATGAACACTTTATTTTAACTTATCAAATAAAGAGAAAATCCTAAAAAACTAACTAGTCAACTAAAAAGCAACTAATCATGTTCACGGTAAAGAAAGATTTTCTTCCACTTATTCCATGAAAACTGGAAACTATTTAAAATACTTACCACACGTATGCCATCATATGTGCCAACACCAAGTTCTTTACAGGTTTTATTATGATAACTGGGAACATGAAGTGACTGACCCTTGAAACAAAGAAAATAAAACCAGCAAAGAATGACTAGCAATAATTTAAGACGAAAGTGACCAATGACTTTAACAGGTTATACCCTTCCATGCTTTCTGTAAATAAAATAAGATGGATATTACGTGAACTATTTAATTGTTATGCATAATACTTTCATCTCAGTGGATTCACCTTAAGTACAGCTCATTCAACTCTTCTAAACAAAGTTTATCCAGATATGTCAAGTTTATCACTAAAAACTGCCTTAAATTCAATCTTTTCGACACCATCCAGTACCGGACCTCGAAGTCTTAACAAGAAAAATAAAGACGACAAAAAGTAACAATATGATATGATAAGCAAATAACTTACGAAAAGCCATAAAAATTTGAGAATCCGTTTATGGGTCAAAATGAACAATGGACTTCCATCGTTCGGATCCAACACTGGCAAACGGTGTATACGCTGTTTACTGAGTAAAAAAGCCGCTTTCAGTAAACTGAAACTAACAAATAATGAAGCAATCCAAGTATAACGTGTACTAGAAATATCGAATTGCAAAGAATTGTAGAGGATTAAAGAACTGCTTTTGAAATCAACTCGGTGGAGAATCTTACCTAAGAAGGTTCTACAAAACAGATATCTCACATTTGAACTCCCCTCTCCTCAAGAAACGGCAACCTAAGAAACTACCTGCCTTTTTTCAAATTTAAAAGCTTACCGCAAATCAAAACCTTTTATTTCGTAATAATGATAAATAGGTATACCTTTCTTCCGCAGTTATTGATACAAGATCCATTAACTTTCCCTCACGGCAAACTAAATCTAAAGAAAATTCTGTTAAAGTCAGAATTATATAATTTCCAGTAGATACAAAAAACAGAATAATTGCAAAATCGTCAAATATTCATGTTACTTGTTTACATGTTGGAAAATGGCTCTTTACCCCAGGAATGCAAATTATGCTTTTATCTGAAAATCAATTACAAAAAATTGAGAACCAAATGAAAACCTCGATATTCGGATATGGTAAGAGTTCCGATGTCCTCGTTCAGTGTATTTATTACAGCGTCCGTCACCTCTTCTTTTACTTCCTTTTTATTCTGACATTCATCATCCGCAGTATTGATCTGTTGCTTCTCCACATCAGACATTTCCGATTGCGTTACATTATCATTCAATTCTAAGTTGGTATTTCTATCTACACCTGTTTTAATTGTTAGCGAATTTTTATCATCGTCGCATACGGGTCCTTTTTGCTTATCTTTCCTTTCGTTTTTCATCCTGAAAAAAATAAAACAAAAAAACAAAAACAAACATCTGGAAAAGTACATTCGAAATGAACTTTACATTTTTGTAGTGATTTATTGGTATTCGGCGAGAGATTGAGAGATTAAATCGCTGAGAGATTAAATCTCAAAACACAGTAAACTACTCGTTTCAGTTTTATATAGCAATAGCAAATGTTCGTAAGTTTTCCTGTGACCAAATCTGAATTATCCTAAAGCAGTAAGATGCAGCTAGAAAATCACCGTTGCTGGCCGATAGCTGTAGCAATACTTTGAAGATTGATATGAGATTTAATAAAGTTTCAAATATCAAAAAAAAACTAACTTGTGTAGTAACAAGAGGACTCGGATAAAATCTGTTACGGATAATATGCCAACGATTGCATTATTCTTCGCCGAATCCGATAGCAATACATGCCGTGTATCTATGTGCAAATCATTCGTAATATTGCTTCATCAATTATAAATAAATAATATAATGATAAGATACACATTAATTTATTTGGTATTAGAAAAACTGATGATACGTCACAACTGTTCAGCTTCAAAACAAAAATATTCATTTATTTCGAACATTTCAGGAAAAACACTTAAACTCTGAAGAGTAAATTTGCCACAAACAAAGATGAAAGAAAAACGGAACAATTTAAATAGATTTCGACTCCTCCTAAATTAATCATCCAGATTTAAAGGGATCCGGCAAAAACATTCTCCTTTGAAACATCATTTATAAATCTAGCAATATGACAATGTGCTGTTTAGAAACACTTTGGTAAGGGTTGCATTTAATAAATCTTAACAAAAAGCTGAACTATACGAAATAGTTCTTTCTAGAATTTTTGTATCAGTATTAAATTTAAAACTTACTTTGATAAATAAGTCCATTAAATGCTTTCTTGAGCAGAAGTTTGGTATCGAAAACAACCATTTTTGAGCTTGTTGGCATTGCTTCATAGCATGCATTAAACTGCATCAAATGTACATAATTCAATCTTGAATTCGAACTGGTCTGCACATTTGAACTGTTATGTGAATTATCGACCATCGTTGAAACGTTAGTATCACGGTAAGTTGAACTAAATCTAAAAAACAATCTGACCGAAAAACCTTAAGACATTTGAAATTTTTTTCTTGGCAGTTGACAGGAAATGAAATTCGAAATTTCAATTCCCGTTTATAGATCAGGTTAAAATCTTCTTCATCTGATAACATTAAATTATACAATATCATAGCGTGAGAGACAAGATACTGAAAAAACTAATTTCCATTGTGAATACAAAAACAGAAACTTTGAAACAATACAACACTATCTTATATACTAAATATGTCTATTTAGTACCTTCTAGAAATCATAAACAAACAAAAACGATAAAACTATAAAGAGTAGTAGAATGATCATCTTATGGTTATCATCCTATGGTCCATATTTTTGTCTTCCCCTTGATTCAGGTAATCATATTCTTATCATAAAAGACTCGTTATATTATTAACGCATCATAATCACAAACATAAACGACTGGACCCCATCGAAGTTAACTGTTTATATTTATAAAAATGTTTATATAATAAGCAAATATATCATTGTTGTATCCCCGATTATTTTCAGTAAATGTATAAAATTTATTAACTTTATATACTTTAATTCTAATGATACAGATATATAATACACAAATAATCCAAAAATAAAACAACATGTTTTCGAATCGAAAGTGTTTTAGGTAACAAGACAAAACTCATAAAATTGTGTAGCAGAAAATCGATATTTCTCGTTTTGCAAGATAGTAATTAATAAGCGACCATAGATTAAAGCAGCTGCAGTAAAAAAAAAAGAAACTCTGAAATTTTATTTAACATAATCCAACAAACTAGCTAGCAAACTTGAAACTTTGTTGTTCACATCACCTTCCTTAGATAGCTACTTGTGTATTTGTTATCTAGTTTCGAGTTTGGGAACTTGCCTTGTAGTGAATAAAATGCACACAGTATTTTACTGTCATAACAAAGAACGGGTTAGATTTGTGGAAGATAAAATATTATCTGAATTTTGAAACTTGACGGAATAGTTTTACGACGATTGTAAAAACTAATTCTAAAATAATGAAAATCATATACATCAATCATACTTGCTGATAACATAATTTGTATAAACCACCATATTATGACCCAAATTTGTGAAAAACAAACACCTATAAAGCACTCCAAACTAGACAGCCAAGTAAACAAACTACTTACGAAAATTAAGACGACATATGGTATAACGAAGTTTCAAGCATAAGTAGCAACCATGATGTTGCAGTTAAGCAAATTTACTTTAAGCAACTGAAAAGTGAGCATGGAATGAAGAAATCAAAACTTTTACTTAAGACTCCGTACAATATGCTTATATGCAAAACTTCTCAATAAACTTATAAGCTGTTATCCTCAAAATGTTGTTCACGTAGAAATCTTAATTTGTCGAAATGCAATCAAAAGTAAATTCAAAACAACCTGTAGATTTATGAAATACATCCGAAAATTTTAAAAATCAGATGATCAATGGCTCAAAAATTTTTGATTCATGTTAATTCCTTCTTCAGTCGGCTGATTAACATCCCTACAAAATTAATTGTAACTGAAATCACGAGTATTATTCACATTGTTATTCAGAAATAATTGCTTGATAATAACCAAAGCAGTACCAAATACACATCCTTGTAAGTGTATAAATTAGCTAAGATTTAACCCAACAACAATTTCATCGGATAAATTACGTTAAAAAACATGAATAGAAGAGCATACTGTCTACGACTGTTACAATAATTTTTATCAGTTATTATTATACCAGTTAGTGTCAAGTAATTATGGATGTAGAATGGGGCAAAAAAAAAGTTTGAAGGTCTTTTTGAATCATACTGTTTAGTAAATACAATCGATATGTCCTGAAAATTCTTTTCAAATTTGTACACAGTCACAACGTTATATGCAAATTTAAGCCCTTAAGCTTGGTTAGGTAAATTTTTGACAACGCGATTAATTGAATTTGACGTCAACGCAAAACCACTAAGGTAAAACACTCTAGAATATACCAGGTAATTACAATTTCCATCAAACTACCTTCAAAATATCTGTTTAATAAATTATCTGTTTGATTGAAATGGAAATTTTTCAATGTTTCTTTCCTTTTATGTTAATTTTTAATTTCAAAACATTTGAAAAGGAAAAGTTAATATAGTCATAATGGATATTATCCAAATGAACAAGTAAATGTTTTCAATAAAAAAGGAAAAAAAAAACAATAAACAGCATTAACGTTAAAAAGGAACAAATTTTGCGAAATACTTATAATGAAGCATAAGCATTAGTTAGAATCAATTAATTAGAAAATAACTTTGATGAATTCCCAGAATTATACAAACAAAAAATTTCAATTGATCTTTACGACAAAAATGATCGCGTCATTCCAGATAAGATTATATATTCCTCACTGAAGATTCCATGAAATTACTAACTATTTCCCAGCATTACCAAGTTCAATTACTGAGGAATAGCAGTAATCAGAATAATTGATCATTTCAGGGTTAGTAATACAGATTAAATGACCATAAAAAACTTATCAATCCAACACAACAATTTAATTCAATTTCCAAATTCAACACTACCAATCGTTATCTTCTAATGTGCTAGCATTACACATCAAAATGCATGGAAAAAACAAGTGTGAAATGAGGAACCCTTTTCCTCCCTGCTCCTATTCGAACCTTATTCAACGTAACTGATTACAATCAGATTTCCAACAGAAATAATGGTTGATAAATATCCCTCTTATCATCAACAGATCAATCGGAAAGTGTTCAAAAACTTTATTCCATTTCCTTTTTCTTTTTTTGTGCATCATACGAAAGATATTTCAACAATTAGAAAATACTGCTTTTCCTAGATTTTATGGTCAAAAAATTCATCATTTAGCACTGCACTAATCATAATACTGTTGATGGAATTAATCCAAATCAATCAATGATTTTTGCTCTATTTTCTCACATATTGATATATTTCATAATGTTTATATTTGGAAGAATCATATCATTCACATGCCATATTAGCCTGTAATAAATTCAACAGTGATACTGTTGAACAGTGATAACTAAAAGAAACGGTAACTTGGCTAGATTTTTCGAAAATTAACTATTAATATAATTTCGATCCTTTCATCATCTCCCCTCTTCTCATATCTCTTTCTTCTTTAAGAAATCTATTTTGAATAACCAAAAGAACTTATTCCTAAGTTAAGGGAATAAATATATGATCAGGTAATCAAAACATAATTTTTGAGAATCATATGAATGAAACCACTCTCCTTCTTCTATACTATTTTACTCCCTCTCTACCATCCAAGTTCACACTGTTCTTATGAATATTTTATTTCGATTTCATAAACATTTAATCCAGTTTCCATAAATCTTTTATAACTAAGCTTATGGGATATGGAGAAATTGCATTCCCTAACTCATTTCATCTAACATTTTTTTTTCAACTACAGAAGAAATTTTAAAAAATTTCTAAAGTTAAAGTTTCTCCATATTTTTTCTAAATGTAAAAATTAAATTTTGGATAATGTGAGAATAAAAGTTATAAAATTTTTTTCTTGATATGCAGATGACAAAATCATAAAAAAATACAAAGTTAATCTTATTTACATTTCTACTTAAATTAATTTGTTAATCTCTTTTTCTCAATAATCAATAAAAGTGAAAGAATTTAAAACTTTCAGGCTTATACAACATTACATAATGCAATAATGCAACAGAATATCGAATAAATGCTTGATGAAAGGGAAAAAAAGAGGTTAAAAGACATTAACGAAACAAATTTTATATTTGAATTACAAAAAGTATGGGAAATTATAAGCATTAGTGGAAAAAAAAGAACAAATGATTGTTATTTCTGGTATAAAAACTAGTACTAAGCGTTATTAATTGAATTTTCCAGATAACCATTGAACAGTAGTTACATATCACATTCGAAAGCGACAGTCGAAATGATGCTGATGTTAACATAAAAAACAAACAAATAGTGAAATTACAGAACAATTACCTCACGATATTTGAAGGAGTGTTCCGGTGTGATGAAGAATTCCGAAGCTGGATAACATTGACCCGCTCCGGTATTGACTTCGAAACAACGGAACTGAAAATGAAATCTACAGTTAAGTAATTGGCATAAAATATGCTACTAATAATCATAATTCTGTAATATCGCAATAGCAAAAAATAAAAACGAATCAGTGTACAGATTAAAATAATTATGATCAATTCATTTTCAGTATTAAACGACTTGACAAATCACTCGAAACACAAATTGCACAGTAGAGAACAGTGAGACATTAATTTTACAAAACGATTCATATGACAAAAAGGATCATGATAGAACACTTTTTTTGACTGTTTTTACCGCAATATTAAAAACTTATAAATAAATAAAGTTCAGAATAGAATCTTTATAATCTAGAATGAAATTGACTGCATGCAAAGTGCAAGATAAAGTTATCCTCAAAAACAGCATTATTACAATTTATCACTTGAAGCAATTCATTTATAAAGTTTAGACAAAGAAACAAAGGGACAAAGTCAACAAAATATCTTAAAGAGTATATGCACGAGTTCTGGTATTTCAACAAAAGGTTTGAAAATAAAGAAATGTGTGGTGTAAGCTGAGACAAATGGTAATCGATTCTTGAAATAGAAATAAAATCTGCCAAGATGCCTTATGTAACATTTCATCTATATGAGTAGAATTACATGACAGAATCAGGTTAAACATTAAAACCTTCAAAGGGAGGTTTACAATACGAATGTCAACCATCAGCCACTTGTTTTGTCATATGCACCTAGACCTTCAACAACAGCAAACATTATTTTCTCTGCTTGAACTGTGGAAATTTTTTCCGTGATTTACAATGGTACCTTTCATTATCACTCGTATCCTTCCGAAAAGCACTCAGTCTTCGCCGCAGTGAACGTCCCATTGCGTTCGTCCAAGTTTTCGAACCTGATGCTGTACTTTTCGCATCATTATCATCTATTTCTTCACTATTCTTAGTGTCATCAAGTTCAATTTTCGTAAAACTCGCACTCTTCCTGAAGAATAAAAGTTGCAAAAAATATCCTTTTAATTTAGTCTCTCTGAAATTTATTTCATTTTTCTTCCCTATCTTTTAAACCAAACTTTTCTTTTTAAACCTTCTTTTTTCTTTAAATCTAAATCAGTATTCCTACTAACTGAACACATATAACGCTAACATGTTACGGACCTTAAAAATATAAACTAAAGGATAAATAAGTCGGTCTGCATATAACATTGAAATTTCTAACTTCTAACGGTTCTAAAAGTGATTATTATCGGCAGCTCACCTGACTTACATGAGGTACTTTTTTTTAGCCTTACCAATTAGTAAGCATGATTTAACAATAATTAATGCAGTCGTTTCGCTGTTAGTCGCTGAGATGCAATAACTACAAAACTGTCCAAAAATTAAAGTATATGCCCATTAAAGCATTAAAATGTGAATAAGATGTATAAAATTTTCAAAGTGTAAAATAAGACGTATTTCATCGAAGTAAGCCTTTCATTAACAAGGATTACTGTTAAAAGAGCTGGATTACCTCATTTAACTCTCAATTTTATTTAAATTTGAAATCACCAAATATTACTGTGTCTATTCAAACGATAGAATAAATTACGTTTTTAATAGACGCAATATGATGTACTCAGCCAGGATTACTTCAGTGATAATTATCTTGCCAACTTCACCAATCTTATCGAAGAAGAAAAGATCATACATTATGAAAATCCTTTTCTCTCGATAACAATCTTTAGTTATTTCCTATAAATTTGTGACACTTTGAAAAATTTGAACAAACTTCCGAAAAATTCGATGCTTCAGTTGACCCATTGATGTACGACGATGCGACATAATTAATCAATCCTTATCGATTGTTGAATTTTTGTAGACTTACGAAAACACCACTTGAAATCCTGTAATGCAAAAATAAACAAAAAAACCTTGCTAATTTATTCATTTGATAACATTATTTCATGAACTATAAAGATTAAAGAATAAATTGAAAGTTTTAGTGCAGATGATCTTATGTTAATAGATAAAGTGCAATAGGTAAAGATATGATGAAATAATACATTCCATATACCAGTTAAAAATTAAATCAACAATGGATAGATAATGAAGTAGTTTGGTGATTGTTAGTAGCGTTGTTAACCTCATGTGACTTTTATCAAGGATAGTGGATGACGATATTTGCTTGACACTCAGCCATCAAATGATGTTAAACTTATGGCAAATTTTAATTATGCAACATAATTAAGAAAATTTAACAGGGAGAGAGAGAGAGAGAGAAAGGAAGAGAGAAAAAGAAATTGCGCGTATACATATGTATGCGTATTAAAAAATGAGGAAGGAAATGTAATTACAGATAAATCATTCGTATCTCTTTTGTTTTCTTCCTTTTCTTTTTCTTTTTATTATTTTAAAAAGGAAGGAAAAAGTAAAATATTATTTCTTCCTTTTTCTATTCAAAATTTGCAATCTTTTAATTGATTTGAAATGAAATAAAAAAGAGAATTCCATCATTCTCTTCTCTCCTCTCCTTTCTCTCTCCCTCTCCTTCTTTCTTCTTTCTTTCTTTTCCCCCATTGATACAACAACAATATACTATTGCTGAAACAGCTGCAAAAGTAAATCGATTACGTAAAGATCAGCTTAGGTCATCGTACCAGGAAAACAAATGACACCAAATATTCTCGCCAATCTTTCTTCTTTACTTTGTCTCTCTCTTCTTTTTTCCTACTTTTTTCTATGACTATTTTATTCGTTTCGTAGTTCTTTTATGTGAAAGATAATGAGCTTAGAAAATGTGAATGTGATATAATCAGATAATAAGGCGGTTAACTGCTATATCATCGTCCTATTTATGGACTTACATATTACTCGATACCACCGTCTCATCTTCTAATGTTCACCTCTTCCTTTCTCTTTCTCTCTCTCCTTGTCTCTTCAAAATATCTTTCATCAACCAGGATCATTCGATTATTTGATACCGGATGATCACAGACGGTAATTGTTCACAACCTTCAGTAAAAATATGACTACAGTATCTCTTGAACTAATATTCCTTGAGAGTAAAAAAAAGTCTTGAAAACTGGCTAAGATAAAGATATACAAGGTTAACTTTCCCAACACTAATGCTAACAATCGTCGTCTTTTTCGACATTTAAAACTTCATTTGAAAAGATGAATCATCTTTCTCTTTCTCTCTCCGTTATTAATTAATGAAGAACATGACAATGAAAAAGTTAAACGAAATTTGAATAGTAACAATACCATGAATACATCAATGTCTTCCACAATTAACTAAAATATATCCTTACTTATTATTCACTCATGTGATTTATAAAATCAATGCGGTAGAATGAAATAAAACTAGCTAATTTCAGCTTATAAACAGAAAATTTTATTTACTTATGATTATTATGAATTCTAGAAAGACTAAGTGATTAATGATAACGAGCAAAGAACAACGAAGTAGTTTTTGATAATAAGTAGGACCGAATGATTCCTGATAACGAGCAAAGAAAGACCAAATGATTCATGTCAACGAGTGAGGAAAGACAAATGGTTCATGATAACGACTAGAGAAAGACCGAATGACTCCTGATAAAAAGTAGAGAAAGACTGAATGATTCCTGTATCACATTCAAACTTTAAATAGCTGCTACTTACAGGATGGATCGCTTAATTTTACATATACGTATTATTGATTAACGAGCTTAAACACGCAAACGTCTAACACCTACGCACGTGTATGGTACGCAGTGCAGACAGACAGACACATCCAATATTTATTAGAAAGTGCAAAGGCAATGAATGAAGAGTCCGTTTTCTGAATGGTTTGCTGATTTGAGAGAAGGAACACGTTGTTGTCCTTCATTGACATTATCTTTTCATTCTTGTCTAACCTTCTTGCTCCATCTTCATTCCAGCACTCTCTTCTATCATCAATTTTACCTACCGCTATGAATCATCATTCGTTGTATTTTTTCTCAACGTCATGTTCATATATTCTCCAATAAATTCTCTTCTCTTCATGCTATCTCTAAAATTATCGAACTATTTCTTCCAGTTTTTTTTTTCACTTCTTGCATTAAAAAATTTTCATACATATCTTTTTTCATTTTTCAAACACTTTTCTTATATTTAAACTGTTATTTTAAAATTATTTTTCCATCATATGATATGACTATTTTTATTTATCAATCCTTCCTTCTTCTCTCCGTCTCCGTCTCTCTCTCTCTCTCTTTCTCCCCTCCTTTCCCCCAAAATTTGTCATTGTCTATTAAATAAACATAGTGATAATTTATTAGAACATGAAAAAAATTGTATAATTATCTATTCTCTCTCATAAAATGTTGCATTTAATTAAATCATTTCCTACAAAGTTAAACTTTAGAAGAAATTTTCTTTTTAATTATTTCGACAATTTAATCGAAAAAAGAAAAGAGAAAACAAAAAGCGTATCATAAAGCTAAGGAATATGGATCGGTAAAAAACAAACAAACAACAAACAGAAAAGCGAATAAACAAATAAACAAACAAACAAAGAAACAAGCAAGCAAATATGCGAATAAACAATGATTGGAAACACAGGAGAAGAGGAGAGGGAAGGAGAAGATGAGTTTTTTTAAAGTTCAAGAAATTAAGAGTGAATGATTGGTGTTATTGAGATGGCGAAGAAGATGGCTTTTTAGAATGTTTGTGAAGTATTCATCAATAAAATCAATTTACTTTTCTTCTTTTTTTTTGTTCTCATTTTTTTTGCTTTAGTTTTCCTTCTGTGGAATTTCATGGAGCAATAAAATGAAGCAATGAAGTAATTAATAAGAATTATTAAATCATTTTTATTTGATTGAAAAAAGAAATGATAATAAATGGAAGAATGTCTGAAGAATAATGTGATATTTCAGTGATCAAAGATGATAAAAGATAAATGTGCTAATTAAATTTAAAAAAATTTTAAAAGAAAAATGCGAAAAAAGAAAAGAGTGAATCATTCTTGTATAAAAATCGCATTTTTTTTTGGAGATATCATTTATGATAAATAATTGATAAAGAAAAAAGAAAAAAAAAGATAAAGAAAGCAAAAAATGAAAGTCAAAGTATCAAAAATCATTTACTCTCTCAATTTGTTCAATATTTTCTCCTCAACAAATTGTTTCATTTTTCAAATGATAAAACGAAGAAGTGAAATGTTTTATTAAAATATATCGGAAAGTTTTCTTAGTTTAAGCATTGAACAATTTTTTTCTTTGAATTTTATAGCTGTATGCACGAAAATGAATATGTAAAAAGAAAAAACAAAGAGATGTTAAAATCTGATTGATTTTTTATTAATTTCGTTTCGGAATTTCTCATTTAAACTTTTTAATTTTTCAGTTTAACCTTTTTAATCCTTTTTTCTTCTTTTTTTTGTTTTCAATATAAATAAGCCGTTTAGTTGAACTTTTCATTGGCAAAAAGTTTCTTGCTATGAAGCTTAGAAAAGCATTCAATTTATTTTTAAAGAACCAATCAGTGAAAGGATATTATGTTCCGTGGATTTTTAAAATATCGTTTAAATTCATTTATTTTAATTAGAACAAATTTTGAAAATTGAAAGAAGAAACCACAATGACGAAATTCAATTTTCAAAAGTGAACAAAACAAGTTTAAATTCAGATTATACGGGTAGGGATTTGGAATTCTGGTTTTTGGTTTTTTGATTTTGGATTTTTGATGTAGCTTATTTCCTGATCAAGAAAAATGAAATAACGGTAATATTTAAATAAAAGATAATATTTAAATAAATAAAAATAATATTATTTATTAAACATCTTAATTAGCAAAATGTTTTAACAGCAGAAGTTATTTTTCCCATTTTTAATTCAAATTTTAAATATGAATGAATTTAACTACAAAAGTAGATTATTTATTAGTTTATTGGATTTGTTATCTAGCATGACAAAAGTAATTTTATCTAATACTGTTATCACAAGTAAGAAATAACCGAAAATTGAGGGAAAAGAAAAGGGAAATTTTTAATTAAGAAATGGCGATGCCAAAAAAAAGAAAAGGGTGTCGTTTTGGAATAAATTTATTTTTGTTGAACTTAATGATATATTGAGTACTTTTTTGCGTAATGCTGTTACTTTATGCAAAAAAAAGAAAAAAAATTAACGAGGAAATTTTAAAATGATGAGATTTCAAAAAAAAAAATGTTTAATTTTTTTGAAAGCTTATGAAAATTAAATCTAAATCTTTTTGAAACGAAAATTTAAACTCTGATCGGTAAAAGTTTAAAATTTTCGTTATCTTTGATATGCTCATACATATACACACACACGCGTTACAGCATGATAAATTATAATCATTGGTATATATATTAGATGATAAATGGCAAAAAGTTTTATTAACTTTAAAAGGTAAATTAAAGTCTATTCGATGATACAATGTAATGCTATAATTGTTATTTAACAAATAAGCAAATTTGAATTTTATGGTTATTTAAAGAAATGAATAATATCAAATGGTGGATGAAGATGATGAATTACAAACAAATTTCGTTAAGTGTATTCATTTAATTCTTTTAAAATGATGATATCAGAGTAAGAGAACTTTTAAAAATAAAAGAAAAGGTTTTTATCAACTTTCATCTCAATAATAATCGATATAATACTAATGAAATAATTTATGAGTAAAATGATAACTGTTACCATTATAAAATTTAAATGATTATTAATGATGACTAATTTAAATAACCGTTAATGACATATTGATTTAAATGACTATTAATGACATATTAATTTAAATGACTGTTAATGATGATTAATTTAAATGATTGTTAAAGATGATTGATTTAAATGATTGTTAATGATGATTAATTTAAATGATTGTCAAAGATGATTAATTTAAGTGATTGTTAATGATGGTTAAT